ACACGATGGTCTGGAATAGTCAATGGAGGGTATTCGGATACAACTGTTGAAAAGTGGCACATTCAAGCTATGTTGACTCCTTTAACTGTACACACCTATATTGTGACACCGCCGTCACAACGCTATTCGCATTGGCTATGCCGGCTCGGCGCTTTAATACAGGTGGCTGACGTCAATGCCAGTGAATGGAGGAAATATTGCAAAGAGCCGAGGTTTCTTCTAAATTGAGTAAAATTTATTAATATGACGACGGCCACCATGAACGGACATTCGTTCGGTTCGCGAAATGTCGGACCAATGCACAGCCTGACGCAACTCTGCACAGAAGATAGTTACGCCCCCTAGGGGGGGGGGGGGTTTAAGTAGTCATTTATGACCAGTCTTTACTTTGAAAAGTGGGCAAAGGGAAGTGGGCCGCCCCAGACTTAATGAACCTTGCTGCGATGGAACTACTTTGCAGACAGTAACTGTTAATGTACCAGAATACGATGGCAGAAAATAGCAGCAGTATGGAGCTTCCACAATGCGATGGACTATAACACTAGACAGCCTTCCGAATTAACGATAATCCGCAGAATTAAAGAAGCCATCTGGTCTGCTCAACTCTACCCATCGCCTTGACGTGTAGAACCGATCGTCACCACAATCTACGCCTCAGCAGGCATTTGTTTAACTAGTTCGTAACGCCCTCCTTGGATAAACAAGCAAATCGACCACTTATGGCAGCTGCGTATGGAACGGCTGATGACTCGTCATACTCTCAGTATTACTCCTTTTGCAGACTAAACCCAAATCCACAAAGCAGTAGTCGTCCGTAGCCGGAAATATCAATCAACTCATAAAAATCGTGAATTCAAAATCTGAATAGAGCTTACTGCTTAAGCTGACACGGGGTACCGGATGATGCAAGGCTAAACGCACTTCGCTACTTCCGATCGCCTGTTCGGATTAAGCATTCAAAGAAAACCTTAAAAGGTTAAACTCTGACCGACTGGAGAATGTCAAACAGCAGACAGTAAAAGACCCCTGTAATCCACGAAATCCCACGAATTCTAGCTATTTTGATAAGTCTGACCGGAAATTCCGACCAGTTTATCCTGTTAATCTCTCCACATATCCATGTCTGGAAAAGTAAAAAAAAAGAATTAGCTAAAAGATGCTGATGGAGAGCAAAGACAGTGATTTTAAAAGATGTTTTCAGTACATCAGAAGTTAAACGTGAAGACCGGTCCCAAGAAAGTCCCACATATACATAGGGCCGAAATGTGTTTAGAGATGGAAGGAAAGGATGAACTAAAAGTTGCATTCAAAGAGCCACAACCCTTGGGCGCAATTTAAAACGTTTTTAACGTCTCCAACGGCGGTACATAGGCAGTATCCGTCCCCACCGTTGACAAAGCCATCCGCTCTGACTTCACAGTCTCCTTGAACGTCTAAAAGGATGTATTTTGAGATAATTTAAGTCATTCCACTCACCTTGTTAACCTCCGATAGCAGAAGCCGATCCACTGCAGAGCAAATATCTTCAACCGAACGTATTCCAGATACATTCAGATCTCCGCCACCACCGCCTTTGTTGCAGCACAACAACTGCATTGCTATATCATCCGTCATAGTGATAAAATTCTCCATTCGCATCGCTAAATCAGCCTTAAAAAGAGCCCTAGAAAGGAGTGAAAGTCGTAAAGACTGTGAATTGGACCCACTTTGCACGCGCAAATTGCTCTTCGTTAATTCCCGTCTCAGCCAGCTGAGCCAAAACCCTTCTAGCAACCCTTAGATGTTCTCCGACCGTCTTTCCATCACATCCGGTCACCAAAATCCCAAATAGACCATGATCTGAGTAATTGAAATGGATGGGAGTTGTGTTTGCGGTGGAAGATGAACAAGGTACAAAGCCTCCCGTTGATCCGAACGCCACGTGGTGGTGTGGGGAGGTCAAAGCGGCTGCAAAAACAGAGAGAACTAGGGAAGTGAGGCTTTCACCGATGTGACCACCGGGGGTGGGCCAGACCAGCGCCGCATATGAGGTGTCTGCGCCAGTTATTTCTCGACGTCTTTCTCCGCCAACAAAGTTGTGTTTCGCAGCGGTTGTGTGAGAAGGCTTATTGGGTCGAAGCAGTGCAGCGTCATGCATGGAGTCACAGATTTGCAGACCTTCTTCATTCGGATTGCATCCGGTGACGAGAAAGACGGTGTTAACGGGAGTGTAGTGAGCGTCAAAAAAGGCCTCAATGTCATCAGCTGTGTGTGTACCGACGCGATAGGGGTTAGCGAAAAGAGAGTTGCCTAGACCAACCCCGTCGGGGTGTTGTCCATAGGCTGCCTCGTGGAGAAGCTCCATGGTCACTAAAGGAGCAAAATAGTGAAAGGAGCCACTTACAAGCATCGAAACGACGTCGATTCAGCATATCAATATCCTTGCGCATCAGTTTGTAGACCTGATCTCTCAGTTCCCAATCAAAGAAGGCCGTTCGAGTAGCCATTGTAGCAAGAATCAGACCAGCTCGAGAGGCGAGATTCGGGGCAACATCCATGGAGTATATCATATGCTCACGTGTCGTGTGACAACTGAAAGACAGGGAGTGTAGATTGAAGAATCCTCTTATAAGGCTATAGCTGATCGATTGGAACTCACTGTAAGCGACCACCCATTTGTTGAATATGGCGAGTCAAATTGACGGCGGTGTAGTTTGTGGTTGAAAGACCGCAACTACGCCGAATGAGATGCGTAATACCATGAATATGAGGAGTCTTCTCGAAACGAGAGCCGGCGTTGAAGATTGCCACGATGCGTGTGAGACCATTCCATGGATTCGGTTTGGGATAACAAGCATACTGCCACATTAAAGAATGCATAAAAATTTCATGTAGCGGGTAAAACTACCTCAACAATACATATAAAAGGCTTTGCAAATGCGGAATTAACTTGGAAAGTAGGTTTAGATTGTATATTGCTTGCAAGTTGCCTACCTGCAAACCGCCATCACTTTCGACAACTGAAAGCGAATTGTCCGCAAGAACTAAATTAGGCTTCAATGCAGCACTTGCAGCGTTTCTCACAGGCAACGCCAAAACCTTCGACAATCTGGACGCCACCCTCATTTCCGACTGACTACAAAACGCGCGGCATAATGCGTACCTAGTAAAGCAAAAATAAACGCGTTTAATTACCAGACCTGAATTAAACAAGTACTTTAATCACGATAGCAGCAATTTTTGTAAAATTAACCAAACTTTAATGATTGTGCAGCATTGTAGGATATGAGAAGTTTATTTCCAATCTGGAAATTTATTCGTTGCTTACCTTAAGTGGTTTTGCGACTACAAAGTACACTTTCCGTTAATGTTGCAATTTTGGGTCTAGCAGTCTATTTTTGGTGCATAGGTGTCAATTTTCTTAATCCGGAATCAATTTGGATGCTAACTTATTAATTATTACATGGTATTTTACGCAATCTGTGCTAAATATAGACCAGAATGTTCTACAGTTAATTATATTGTGGCGTTCTAATGCTTTTCCAAAGAAGAAAGAAGGTTTATTGCTCCGGAGAATATATATGTATTCAACATACGATAGGGCTTACAGCTATTGGCATTGCCTGAAGGCCAGCCTATTCAGCGAAAGTACGATAGGGAAAACCCAAAATCATCTGCTACTAAAATCAAGAGTCATACAACCCATGTGTTGCCATGGGCTTGAACAAAAATATCCTTACCATATAGTCCACTTTTTTGTTACCGTCAATAGTTCGCGCTTTGGTTACACTTCTGTATCCGCTATATCGAGTCTAATATTTCCGGTCATAATCGAGAGTGGCTGCTATGTACTGGCGGTAGTGCGTGCTCTAAGTCCCGAGGGGTTTTCTGATTACAGTCCTCTCTCTGCGAGTAGGAACATAATCGGGAGAGGGTTTTAATAGTTAAACAATGTTCTATGGCAACAGTAGCGGAATACGATGGTGGTTTACCCCTCGGTATTGGTGAGGCGCCACTTTTGTACTTCGAATTTGTCCCCTTGTACCTCGCTGGATGGACTGCCCTTTCGGGCTATGACAATAGCCCAGACACCTTCTCTGCGCTGAATGTAAATTCTGCCCGAGTGTTATGTCTTCAGGGAGTATCGGTATTAGTTTATTGTCAGTGCTCCCATCCTAAATCATCAGTGAGAAGGGAAGAGGCCTAAACGCAGGTTGAGATAGGAGCCATCGTGTTTGTGGTCATGTATCAAGCCTTCCTTTGAAATGGATGATTGCGATACAGGACTTCGTTAAATGTATTCTCCATTTCATTATACTTTCAGCAGTAATGTTTTGAGAACTTGGCCATCCATAACTGCTTCGTCTCACCTATAATGTTTAAATTTGGTATGCAATACTTTTCTCACACTAGCCGAGCTTTTTTACCGATATCAAACAAAGTAACTCCTCAAAACTCCCCTCAAGTGGACGTAAGGCATATCATTATAAAAAAGTAGTTCACCGTCAGAGCGCGGTGGGATTGCAGAGACCATTGACAAGCCGAAGGATCCTGACTCCAAGTGAAACCACAACCTGATTTATTTGACTGCCACATTTGAGGAAGAAAAAGGGATATCCTCCAGAACATTTACCGGACAAAAGTATTATCAACATCATAGGCTTAATTTAAAAAATTTCACCCGAACTTTGTCATAAAGCAAATATAAAACGGGCATTATATGGACGTATTTGAAGGCAAAGTTCTTAGCTAGGACGTATCATCTGGACACGTCACGCTACCTCATTATTTAAATGAAAAGAGATTTAAGGGACTCTAAATATTTCTAACTTATTAATTAATTCATTTTTTTCTCGTTATCTCTCCCCTTTACTTTTTATTAACTGGTTAAACAATTCGTTTTCTTCCATCCCCCACCCTTCCACAGAATTCCTGATAAATTCATTTTTCTTCCGATTTATCATCTAAAACCTATTTATCCAGTTATTTCCAAGTTTTTTAAAGTTTTAAAAGGCATCATCTTTACTGAAATCGTTTACGAAATAGTTGTTTTTCTCTTAACAAGGTAGATTATTTGTGCGCAAATAGACTTGTCGCTTTTCTTCAATAATAATTTTAGACTATTAACATGCCATAAAGGACTTAGTAGTCTCTCTTTCCTTTTCTCCCCAGAAGTGGGCACATTTATTTGGAAATCCGTACCTAGCCCCCACTAGATTATGTGGGTTTTTGTTAAACCCCGAAACACTGCCAGGTACAGTACTCTAAATGGACAAATTTGGGGCATACACCAAGGTTATTGTGAATTTTGAGTCGAGTAATTCTGATTGTCACCTCTGCGTTGTTGCCCTGCTGTCCATGTCTGCAACTCCAGAAAGACGTTTCCATTCGATCTTCTAGACTTTTCACGTGATTGCTAATCTTCGAACATTTTTGCGCGTTGTGCCCCGCTTCGTCCTGCCTGACTGACCCATGTGCAGCAGAGACGTTCCCAAACTCTACGGGTAGCTACGGGGAGGCCACAGTTAATCAGTAACTATAGCTACACATAACTGATAACCCCGATACGAAACTCAGAGGTTGACGACTCATCCGCCCCCATGCACGTGCATGCTGGCCATACCTCCCTTGCATACTCAGTACGTCGGCAAATAAAGGCATCCCCTCTAAAGACTTTATCCATTTGGAGGCCTTGATAAGATCAAGGGTATAAGGCATCGCAATTCCAGATCATTAGGTTAATAACCCAGTTTATACCAGATGCCAACGCACTTCTGGCGAATCTGTTTATGCTCTCTCTGTGCGAACCTACTGTTCAACATCAAACTTGGACGCTCGATGTGAGGAGAAAGCACAACTGGAGAGGAATGCGTTTATTCCATCCGCTGAAGGTCTAATTAGTGTATAAGTTGGATGAACAAGCGTGGAATTTACAATGAAGTAAAAAGTTATTTTTGGGAGGGAGCAGTGGTGGCGATGAAAATGCCTTTCCATGCCTCTATTTAAACGCCATTGGTGATAGAAAGAGCACACTTCTTTCTTTGTTTTAAAAGAGGGGACAAAACAATACAACTATGGGCACCAATTGCTGTTTGTAGTTTAAAATGAGCCAACTTCAAACACCCGGTTGGGTAGCACAGGATCATGACCTCCAACATTGTAAATAATTCTACTAGACTCTTTAGAGGACAACAACCTGTTAATTATGTTCAGCTTGTCATATTGGCGTGAGGTGTCAGTAAAATATAAAGTTTTTGTACCACAAGTTGTACGCAGACGACCTAAAGGAGGCAGGTATGCAGGCCGATCGTCTAGCACAAAAACAGGTAACCCTCAACTGTGTCTCCGCTCGGGACAGTCAATCGGAACACTTCAGACCAGACGGCAGGACAACAATCGCATTACAAAGCTGGCAGGATGTAGTTGGCTCCTGACCATACTTGACAGTGGCATGGGGCTTACTCATGCCTCGGACACGTAACTATCGTGATTTGGTCATGTACACCCCTTAATCAAGCTTAATAGGGTGGTGTTGGCCTCGCATGGATCAGCTTCTCTTTGCCATCGCCAAGACCTTGGACAGCACAGGGCACAGCCAGTGGATTTAAATCCAAAAATGAGTGCAATGCTTCTGTTTAACTATATAGACTCAAGTAAATTCCTTATGAAACTTCATGTTCCATCAACTTTTCTGAATTCCACAATGCGACTGGAGTTGCTATCACGAGACTTTGTCAATCATGATTTAGCTGTCAAAATTTTAAAGTTTGCAATAGCCTTTTTTTTTAATAATCCAATGACAAATAAGGATTCTCCTACTACCTCAACATTGACAGTTGATGATGCATGACCAAGGGGTGAGTGGTCGAATTACGATTTCTGTGGGAACCAGAGATAGAAACAAGTTAGAAAGGGAGTAAAATTGCACTTAGCTTCCGCATATGCTATAACAACTGGGACACCTATGCTACTGGGTGTTCAGTTCGTCCCTACGTCTATTAGAAAGCCTTTTATTGCACTCCCGTGGCAGGCAATGGCTTTAGAGGTCACTCAGATTCTGTATGATTTTAGCTTAATATTTTTATAAGATAGAAAGTGACGGTTTAGATAAGTACACAAGCAGACATATACATTCATGTCAGTGGTCCATAATTCTCCCCTAAATACACGCAGCCATGCACAAGTGTCCTAGAGTCAAACAAGGAGGGAGAGAGGAGAAAAGAATACAACAGACAGAAAAAAGACTGCTCTTGGGGATCGAAACTACTCTAAGAGGGCGCACGGACGTCATACATCTCGTCAAAGGGTTTAATAAAGTGGTAGTCGACAGCTCGGCAATGCTGACAGCAGAGGAGCTGACTATATTGGCTGAAGTAGGGTAAAGGTTGAAGAGGATTCGTTTCCTCTTCAGCCCCTTCCTCTCCATCTTTTTCACACTCCTGTCGTGTTAGAGGTTGGAGTCCGCAGGATTTACAGCGTAGATGCTCCTCACAACAGGGCGAACAGGCGAAAAGGTCGTAAGTGTATAATCCACCAATCAGGAGGGTGGAGCCTGTTGAACCAACAGAAATGGACGCATTGTTTTTAAGTAGCTTGTGAAGTAGTTTGACTACCAGATAGGAATCTGGATTATGTGTAGGGAAGAATTAGGGAAGAATTTCGAAAAAGAAGCTTATAATTGTGCAACTAACCTTTTTTCAAGGAATTAAGTGGTATCTATTCCCGAAATTGATCAAAATCGCAGAATATATAACCTATTCCACTGTCAAAAGGTGGTTTAATTATAATGTTCGATTGGTGATAGTGAGGGGCTTTGGAACTATAGCCAATAGGAGATCGACTTCTGGGGACAGTTGTGAGGGCTGTAAAAGGAGTCACATCGACGACCCAAACTGCCAGAAATAGCTACCATGCAATCTAATAAATAAATAAGAATGAGAAGCCTATGAATTTTGTTTACTACCTCGGAAGTGAATGGATGACGGTGAGCACGCGTGGCCATATTTGGGGTAGAAGGATAGCAGAACACCAAAAATGCCCTCCTTTACATAGCTACAAACCAGCTTAAAGTGATCTTACACCTAACAAACTGCCTTCATTTATAAATGAGGCATTCAAAGTTTACCAGCTACTTCGAAAGCGACTTTAACTAGTTGGTTGCCAGCGCCTTTGAGAACAGTTGACTATCGTGCTTCATCCAACTGTCTTGCTGTCCGAATATGGAGCCAAATATCATTAAACCGCCATCAAAGGTTAAAAATGCACTATTATTATCAGACAAAGGATATGTCATGGCTATCTTATTGCTTTGAGCTCATCTACCAGACAGGCGACAAGATTTGCGCAGGGATTTATAACAATCAGAACAAAGCCCATTTCACACATTTGTGAAGTCAAGATGAGGTGAGAAAATCAGGGCGTTACAGGTTTCCACAAAGAGAACATTTGAGTAACCTGGACCTCAACAAATCTCGGTGATTGATCAATCAAATGGAACAGAATTACAAATCTATTAAATTTGTTCTTGAAATCGCTAGTAAACGAGAGTGACCTTGAGCGCAGACATTTACACTGATAAAAGAACAAAGTATGTAGTCCATGACATTCCGGTTGCGAGTGGCACATTCAGCCAATCATATTAGTTGTTCAATAGGATAAAGTAGAAGGAGGAATGCATTTCACTTGTTCATCATTCCGAAGTTAATTAATGGTGACCTTCTGACCCAGGTGATCACGTTTATCAAATTGAAAAGAAGTTAACATGAAGGTCTAATGGCCAATATCAATTCGATACCGATCTAACATGACCCTAAACCATGTAAAGTAGAACACGAGGGAGAAATCGGAGGCGCCCACTCGTTTCAATCACCGACCAAGGATAACTTTAAGCCAAGCCAGTCACGTTCCTTGGCCATCAATATAGAAAGTGGGAAATCTATTCAGCTAGATTGTTGTAGCCCTAAGTTAAAGGAACATTGAACACAACCAATCATACGAAAAATCCACTAATATGGGTAAAAAGTCATAAATGCTCCCATTCCATAGTCCTAAATCTGGTTGATAATTGTCTTTAAACCAATCCCTCAGGTACATTTATAGATAAGCAAGGTAAGTGTGGAGGATTAAGCCAGTTAGGCTGCCTTAACATTATCGAAAATGACCTTGAAAATGTCTGTGAGCATCCATTTGACATCTAGACAAGTAAAAAACCCGAATTTGTAACTTTTGATTCGTCTAGAAAAACTCATGTGATCCTGATTCCAGTTAATCAAACTAACCGCTCCAAGGGGTGCGGCAGAATTTGCAGACAATTTGCGGGAAGTCTTCACAACCACCGCCGCCACCAGCAGTGTCGTTGGCATCACCACCTCCTTCGAAATCGATGCTCCGCATACAGGCCATACAGACGGCATGGAGGAAGCGCTTTTGACTGATTGATGCCCGATGACGCTGCTGTCCTGGTTGATTGCAATGACTATGATGATGCAGTTGTTGCTGTTGCTGCTGGCGCGGTCCTGTGCACCCAGGGGGTGGGGCAAGGTCACTCTGCATCAGATGACCTGCGGAAGGGGTGGTGGTGGTCCCACAGCCACCACTACCAACGCCGGCAATAGCGGAGGGGGGCAGAGGAACATTCCAGGAAACCTGTGATCGGAAAGTGTAGGCAACATTGTTAAGTTGAAAGGCCTTTATGGTCGTTGGAAAGTAGCGGCATTGTTCAAATGATAAAATGGGAAAAAGCAGTTCAAGTAGGTTATTAAGGTCAATTCTCACAAGTTTTCGTTTTCGGTCGTCTTAATCGAAAAGTTGCTGGAATGGCAAGGTGAGCATCAATATGGGACGACTTTAGCCTTAAGAGTTAAGCCTTTCAGCATTTTCTCCATAATAAAATGCCGCACGTCTTGTGCGAGAGACGTCTTATGAGTCTCTCGATTAGAGAATACCAAAAGTGGTCCGAGCAAAATGAAGACAAATCTTTCCACCTCTAAATCGTCAATTTTCAAATTGCAAAGCGTCGGTAATAAACCAATTTGGATTTTGCATGACGGTCCACAGGATCACTGGTTACAACTTACCGAGAATACAATGGAAGTGGGTCCAACCGGGAAAATTATTTCTTCGAACTTATTAACTACCGTTCCTTGGTGATGCAAAAGTTTTGTGGAAAATTCCTCCTTTTATTATACTACTTCTCGATCCAAGGAATACCTCCTGGGGAACTTGATCAAAGTGGTTGAATGAAAGGGCAGTCGGGATGGGACCCCACGGGACTAAGTAAATTGCGAAAAGTGAGCCTTTTAAAACTTTTGAAGTCAAAGGCACTAACTTCTCGCCCGATGTGAGACCTTTGATCGGAAAATATTAGATAATCCTTCCGTCTGCAAAGCTGCAACGATTTTTCAAAGTAGTAACGTCGTGAAGTGATTTTGCTCCGTGAAAACTGTCCCTAATCTTCGATTCATGAACTCTTTGGGATGGTAAAACCCTAGTATATACCTTTGTAGGAAAAAGAAATGTATTTCATTTGATTAGCGCTTCAAAAGACCTCGGATCAGAAGATATCTGGATTGGTCAAGTGGCTTGAAGGCTGCTTATCATCTTTGTGGTTACAGAATGTAAACAAGTACAAAAACGATATTGACTAGGAGTAAGATAGACGATTTTGAAAACCTCGGATGAAAAACTACCAAAAACCTAGGCGAATAGGCTGTAGGAAGAGTCCTAGCGAGTTTCATTATACAATCTGAACTACCTTTAATAGAAAAGAAGTTAACCACGAAATTCTGATTGATTAGATTACTTGAACACACTAGCACGACAAAATCAGACTACCTTATCTACACGTATTATGATCAACTAACCATAGATACGAAAGTAGTGGGAGGCATTTGATTTGATACTAAATCACTTGGTTTTAGTAGAATCCTCCACACCTATAAACGATAGACAAGATCCTTGATAAAAAAACCGCTGAATTGCTCCAGAGAAGTGAGATATTAAGCTCTTGTATGCGTTCGACTGCACATTTGATCGGGAAGTACAAATATTTACCAAGAAATGTCTAAAACGTGTCATCACTACTGTTACCTTACCTGAAGACCCCCGCGGTGGCAGAGAGGAGAGAGGAAAAGGGCACCGTCAAGAAGTGGGAAGTGGTCGTAGATAGTGAGAGGACGACAACAGGCCAGACAGCGCACCTCCGCAGCTCCGTGACCTGTCAGTTGGCACAGCACGAACGCTCGTGTGTCCTCATTGCCCGTACAGCTGTCATCCTCAAGTTGGATGAAGTAACCATTCCGTTTCCATGCTTGCAGCCTCTAGATGGAGCAAGACGGGAGACAATTCATTGCATTTTCGAAAGCAACTATCCGTCCAAGGTGCAAAAATCAACCTGAAACACAGAGAAATCTTTCCGTTGACGGAAGATATTTCCCTTGACATTAAATTGACGAGTTCCACTAGAGAGCATTGGGACGGAAAAGGACATGCTGCGTTGAACCTGTTGGTCACCCTGAAGGCCTGTGGAAACCGTTCCAGCTGCCATAGATCCGGAGCGCTGGCGGGCGTCAATGAAACCTGTGGATGGTATATGGCGAAGAAAGGAAATGGTTAATGCGTAGATGGACATGTGCAGTACCTACTAAACCGCAAACCCCTTCATCAAATAAAGTGGCGTTTCACTCCTTTTTCGACATTATTTTCTTGTTTTGTACTCATCACATTTTGGAGAGGTTTTTTGTAACGAAAAAAAGATTTGCCAGTGCGTCCCTTAGTTTGGATGACTTTGTAAGACAACCTCTTCTCTTCCCGTTGTTTAAATTATTACGAATTACCTTTTGACTCACGAATGAATGGAAAATCTCCTCACCATGGATTGGATGGAGGTGATTGCTTTACACGAGATTCAAATCTCAGACCGAACCCAGCCATTATTGTCTGTATTTTTTAAATCCTTTTTTGATGCCTTTCCACCAAAAGTGAATATCACTGGAGATAAAAAGTGTCGTCTGATTTTTAAGTGCCTAAAAAATTTATGGTTGCTGATCAAGAATCAGTAAGAATAAGAATAGAAGCCTGATTACCGTTCGAAAAAGGTTCAGCATACATTAGGAAAAATCCCTCTGCAGACAAAAGGATAAACTTCTGGAAAAAAATAATCGGATTTTCTTCCTGGTCACAAACATAGTTGCTACCTCTCCCTCGAAATAGGAGGAGGTGTTACCCTAATTCTGGCCTATCAGTGCTGCATAGAAGAATTTTCTTTCAATTTTATAAAATACACGAAGGACTCGCAAAATCACTGCAACCAAATGACTATTTCTGACTCAGTGAAATAAGGAACCATGATAATCCCTCAGTTCGTATTCAAATTTTCTTCAAAATCGCTCTCGCAGCACCTTTAGAGACCGTTACCTTAGATACGGTATAATTTAAACGAAGTTTAATAGAAACTTGTGAATTATAAAATATATCAGTAATATGATTGCTTTAATGTAAAATTCGCCCTTCTCTTGTCATTATTGTAAATTTGTTTACTACTTTTAGGAAGGAGATGAATTTCGCTTGCTAAAAAAGCCTATCCAGCAAATCAACCAGCCCATCCCCTTTCCTCTTCCTGCCCCTTTAATTAAGAAGATACGCTCTGGTTAGCCGTTGGATGACTGTTGATACCACACACACGCATCAACTGGGAAGGTCGTGTCAGGGGCGACAGTAAACTGGAAGGGCGATCAGTTTGTTTGACCCCACTTATTTAATATACGGTGTATAAGCGACCCATCATTTTGGGTTGATCACCAACCGGGTAACTAAATTTTGAGGAGAAATGGCCTTCGCAATTCATTCCAGTGTCATTTGTTACCCCCGAATGCTCCAGTCACCATCCATCTTACACCTCTGAAGCATGGTCCACTTCAAGACCATACTCGTGTTAGGTTCTACTTCTTATACTTTACAGGAAAACAACACCTCATACTGTAAAATTTAGAAAAGCTCTAAAATCTTTACGCCATGCTATGGGAGGGAGAGACAGGGCCTCACCCCACTTTCCATATTCTCTTGACAATTCTCTTGCATATGACTTACTTTTTCTTGGAAGTATAAGACAATGACGTGCACACTAAAGTAGACGGGCGGGAAATAGGAGATAAGAGTGGAGGTGACTGGTGATGTGAGCGGGGGAAGGAGAGGGCTAGGCCATTGTCTACGAGGAACTTTTGTCTACTTGGCAGAGATGATACATTGTTGTGGTAATTATTTCAACAAATACTTCATACTTTAAGAGGGTTTCGGAAGTTTTCCAAATCGCATAAACTTACTTCGATGCTTTATTGACTAGCACTGGTAGGAACGGATAAAATGTCAAATTACTTCCCAGATATGAAGTGCATTGAAGAGGAGGATGGAAAACCATTCAAAGAGCTTTTAGTTTTTGTCAGCGGAATTTTGTATGGATAAGAGGTAGCAATTATGGTGAAATGGTGTTTTGTTTAGCCATGCTTTTAACTACGCGAAAAATTAAATCGCTTCGGGTTGTACTCTTGCCCCGTGGTATAGTCTTTGGGGAGTGATAATGGCCTTCCTGTTCTTCCGTACGTTAATTTGTACGCTTACCACGACTTCAGGGATAACTTGGTATGTTACGTAATTCATGACGAGCAGAAATTTTTACTTAAAGTCCAAGTAGGGAAAAGAGACAAAGAAGGGTGATGTAAAAACCTGTTGCTTGGCATCACTCTCTATACCTGCCCTATCTCATTCAAGAAAGGGACAAAGGGCTACCAAGTGCTTGAAAATTAAGGTCCCATGACACTTGTCATGTGATCACAACACTGCTTTTTTAGCACATGGAGGTGAAATCCAAGGTTTGGAAAAAACTTGTCTGGTAGATTAATTAACTCATCCATCGTCCGTCATCCTGCTTTTCCCGCTTAACAACCACATTCATACTTGCGTAAAACCTTCCACTTTGTTGTGAAGAGAAGTTACTTAAAATGATAAATTATGCTATAGGGGCATTTCACCTTCTGAGGCTCAAGCACCTCCCTGGTGGCACGACGTCCCATTCATGGCTACGGCCCTCTACTCCTTTTTACCCTCACTTAAAATAGTCTTCAGAACTGGCTTGCAACTAACATTTAATAATTTACTTCTGGTATCTGTTAACCATGCAATTGGACGCTCTTTATCTTCACCTCTTCATAAAAATAACGACATTCTCAAGGTTAAAATTTGCCCGGGAGTAAGGTTTTCGTCTATGCAAAAAAGGCCCACCTTGTGGAGTCCATAAATATAATCACTTACATCTAGAGTTATGTGATGTCAAGGGTGAGGAAACATGTAAATGCAAAACAGCCGCGGAGAGAGGTGGGGATGGTACTTAAAGAAGGGAAAAATTGCATGATTTTCGCGGCAGCACAAATTGTTTTATCAAAGTGATGAAGCAGGGTATCGCGATTACGTAGAATGCGCCTCCTGGGGTTGCATCCTTAACCGCAGAAAACAGTCCTATTTTAGGGTTTTAGAAAATTTGGGCCCTAAGGTAATGTTGCACACATTGAACAATACTGACATGGAGACAATCGCTGCATGTACCAATAATCGCATAAAGTTCATTGTCAATCAAAGTGAAAAACTGAGTGCCCTTGTGGTAGTCACAATCTGCAGCACCAGCGTGTTCACGCTATCCCCATCAAGGATCTCGTTACTTCTGAAGCCTTTCTCCCGATTTTGGGGGATTAGGAACCTAATAGCACTCGTGCTCAGACAACAGTACTAAAATAGGCTTCCAGAGGTAGTCCAAACGCTGCATAGAGTTTTCTTCCATCTTTTCACAAATTTCATTAGTTTTTGTTCATGCCTGCTGATAACATAAATTATGGCGTTTTTATTGCCTTGGAAAGCAAAAAGATGAAAGACTGGAACAACTGTTGCTAACGAGACGAAAATGATCTGACTTGCTAGTGACATTTCATTAAATGCATGACTGTTAATTTTGCCTCCGTGAAAGGAGCAACAACAAAGGGACCTTCCTTTGGACCGCCGAACCTTCACCCAGGTGGACTCATCAGGCGTAGCAGCTGGCGGTATCCATCGACGGGTCAGGATGTTCCGTTTATGTCATTTCTGTCAGTAGACAATCGGCCCTTTTTTCCATTTGGAATTGGTTTCGTTACCGACGCTGTAGGGCAATGAAGCTTCGCGAACCCACACATCTGCTTTTCATCATCAGGCATGACAATACGCTACCTTTTCGAGTTGACCGATGCAAAAGAGAGGGGCAAAAAACTCCACACACTCCGAGGTATTTTATGGAAACGGCCCAAATATTACGCCCGGACTCTTGTTCCAGTCAGCCCATTCTCCCGTATTCTATTGAAAAGTTTGACTTTTGAAATAGTTTTCGTTCCACTACTATCACGCACAAAAATTTGCCCCTTTTTTCGAAACTATTCGCCAAAAGTAGCTTTACCTGCTACCACAAATGGCCAAATACACAAAAAAAAATTGAGCAAGCTTTTGTGTGCTAAGTTCAAAAAAGAGGGATGAGGGGAAAAAAGTGGCTTGAAGAACTTACGTCTATTTCTCTTTTGGCCACCACTGCCTTCCGCCTTCTTATTGCGCTTCAGTGGTTCCACAGCACCAGTAGAAGGTACACTTGTGTTCAAGGGGTTCAGCCATGTTGCCTCTGCGGTCTCCAGAGATTCCATACTTGCGAGGGAGAAGCTGGGAAAGCGTGTCGAGGCAGCGGCGCTCGAGGGATCACTTGCGAATCCACTGCTCAAACTGGAGTCCGTGATTCCAGTGAGACTCGTCTGTCGATGTGTTTTGGAAGTTGAACTCAGACCAGGGTTCCTAAACGTAAGTTGTGGTTAAAAAAGTAGATGGGTTCACTAGTGCAGTAAATGCAGCTTCCAAACTCACATAAGTTGAAGGTTGTTGGGCTGGAAAGAGGACATTAGAGGGGTTTGAAGAAGACTCAGATCGGCATTCTCCCAACCGTCAGCCAAGGGGAATTCAGAGGGGTCGATGAGTGACTTGAAGGGCACGGCACTGTCCGAGTAACGCGTTTTCTGCAGGCGTCCACTTTTACCGTTTTCCATTGGTAATGTCAAGATGACTGTAGCGTAGTTAGTGAGATGGGCAGCGTCGGTTGCACTTAATAGTAAAATGATTAATCGTTTAAGACTCAAATGGAAATTTCCTTTACAACTCATCCTGCACCATGAAACACAAATTCACAAGAGCATTTCTGTCAGAAACTTTTAAAAATGAAATCCCTCTGCACACCCTTCAGTTAATTTGACCTGCTTTGGTTGCATAGTTCCAGGCTTCGTAATTGCAAAGGATCACGTGTCGCCAAAACACGTGACACGAAATGGGGAAGCTGTCGGGGCAAAGGATTTGGGTTGCCAAGTCATTGGCTGTGGTAGAATAGGAGATGATTCCACTGGCCAATCGGAGAAGGCCAAATTTGGGCGAAATCGCGGACCTGGGCAAAATAGCTTTTTCATCTGATTCAACTACGCCTTACTTGGGGATTAAAACTGTATGTGTGATCGGCGTGGAGGCCGATTTCATAACACTTTGACCCATGACATGCCCAATAGTGACCCGCGCATCTCCAAAATGTGTTTGCCGATTCTCACATTGTAATAGCAAAAGATTCCGAGTACTTTCCTTCTCGTAGGTTCGGGATACATAAGCATTGTTAGAACGGTGAACCGTGTGTAGAATCAATGAAGGCGTCTGACGATTTATGAATGCAGGGCGGCGGGGGGTTCACCAGTCAGTCATGCCACCTCATCAATCCAGCATAATGCCCAGGGAGGTAAACATAGTCGAGTCAACAACAGAAAGGACGTTTGATCAAGTAGTGTAACGGCTGGCGATTGATCCGTCACGAGGAGATTGGGGATTAATTTTGAAAAGTGTGATAACAAGGACGCTGTTATTAGTCAAAAACACCCTTTTAGAAATAATTTGGCCAAAGAAGCATAAACTAATCCAAAGGTGTGTTGTGTGCATGGGAAAGGCATTATTTTAGACCGTGAATAAGAAAAAGGGTGAATATTAAAGCTTTGGCTATACGAATATGTAATCACTCATTTCGGTTTTTCGTTATTTTAGCTGTTACTAACGGACGAGTTTGCTATGACGCCGCTAACAGGTCATATTGTGCCTACCCCCACTAGGACCATCAGGCCTTGCACATTTTTCGTGAAATAATAGACCTGCCATCTTCTTCAAAGGTAAGTTGTTTTTTACCCCGTACTTGCGCCTATCGCCCTTGGCATAACATGACAACACTTGCCTAGGCGCAGATTACTCGAAGAGTAGCGAATGTGGTTGTTATTAAACCCTAGATACCTATTGCCCCTGTGCCGTTAATTAGGCCTCATAAAAATATTTGTTTATCATCAAGTTCTAAACCAAAAGAGAAAGAAAGTTGTGATGTGCTTTGGCATTTCAATTTGCGTCATGTCAAAGTAAAAACAATGCTTGATGGTTTACACAAATTTACAGCAAAAGACGTAAGGATTTACGATTTACTAGAGGCCAAAATGATTGGATTCTGATATTTTTTTAGATAAAGTTATCAACAGTGCATTAGAGAGAAAAAACACGCTCGGTTTGCACTTTTTTGTTCAGACTTCACTGAAAACAAGTGACAAAAAGGATCAAATTTCGAAAAAGATCTTGAAGTGACTAAACGATTCAGTGATAAATGATCCAATTGGGAGACGCTAAAACAAAATGCGAGTTTTATTGACTACCTTCACCAATGTGCATGAACGTCTGACCAAAACACAAACAGATTAACTTATAAATAACTTCATATCTACGAACGCAGGAAAACGCCGGTTTCACAAGCGAGTCGTGATAATGTGATATGAAAGAAAAAAAACAAAAGTAAGCTAAATTCCCATAGCCTCATAGATTACAAGCTTATACCCACATAAACATGTCTGAAAAGTGTGGTAAAGAAAACCGCTTATGCCGGCCAAACCCGATGCACAAGAATTATTCCTGCTTTTGCTGAAATTGGAAGATAATGCGCCTGTGTAATTACCAACGATCAAAAATGGCTACTCCTAATACGTCCATAAGAATTTCGTCGATTTGAAAAATAATTCCCTATAATCCTTATAAATAATTGTTTGTAGGAAAGAGACGGTAAATTGATAAAGGAAAATTTAAAAAGATAAGTTGGACGGGTGCTGCGAGAGCACTTCATGCTTGTTCATTGGAAATAGGAAATAAATATTGTAGAGAACGTCTTTTCTTTAGTATTCTACCGTTTCCAAGCGTGAAGACAAAAACTTAAAAAGATGTTAAAGTACAAATCGATTCACTTTGTTTTATAAACAAACAAGACAAATTAGGAGAGACAATGCACAAGGTGTTTGAATGAAGCAATTGAGCGCAAGTAGATACCTGCGCGCTGTAGTGAAACGAAGGAAACATCGGGGACCTGTGCGTTGGCATCGCAACACCTACTTAAATAAACAACTTAAACAATGATTTTAATGACTATGAGGCATAGGAAATTCAGTGTTTTGTTTTAGTGGGAAAGCAGGCAAAAAATTGACCTGCCCACCTTCAGTTCGTTACTTGAACGGTTAGTCATAAAATCAACGAGTGACCGATTTGCATTAATACAAAAATTCTAGTCGGGAACTTACAAATGAAGACATAACAATGATGCCCCAAGATCTGGGCTAGATTCCTACTTGATAGTGTTGCCTTTCTTGCCTTGTGAGTAGTATATGATCCATATAATGTGTAAAACTTCAGGAAGTTGGTGTCTATCCCATGATTCCTAGGCGGAAAAGCAACAGTGATTCCGCCGAAGCGCCTCGCACTAGTCTACTCCGCCCTGCCTTTCTCGACCAATAGCATGCGTCTCAAGGCCACATCTCTCGCCGCAGTGACCTTGAAATCCGTGCAAATCTTGGTGCTTATTGGTCAGGCAACTGTTGTGCACTGTGAAGGTATCCGAGACAAAGAAGCTCGCACTTGTTTTTATGTCCTGTTTCAGTGTCATGAAATGATGGACAGGCTTTTATGAGCTTAATTAAGGTCTTATTAAACACACAAAAATGGCCAAACCAACTGAATTTTGTGACGGTTTTACCGGAAAAATTTTCCATGCTTTCTGTTGCAATGCACTGCACCAATCTCAACAACGCATAGTTGATCGAGTAGTTACCGAATTTTGACTTCTTGTTTCCTACCAACTTTTGAAACAAACATCTCCTTTACTGCCCTTGACAACTGAATTTTACCTTTTCCTTACCATTCGTTTTTCTTGCTAAGTGCATTTTATCCGACAAAAGCGGATGCATTTGAGTGGTGAAATTCACAAATTTTTATGTGTGTGGTGTTTGTGAATTTCATGTGAATTAGTTGGCAATGGCACCACCACAACATGTGAGACGAATCGAAGTGCTGTGTGCATTTTAGCATCCGAGTGTGCCAAAACATCCGAGAAAGGTGCCTCCTTTGCAAAGCGCCGCCCTTCATAACTTGTGAAGTGGGAGGGACTGAGAGATGGGAAGGTACCTTTAACCTTCGATAGGATTAATAGGGTGTTTATCTGATTAGAGTAACTGCCATAGCCGAAAGTTTAAGGCGGATTTGAGCGTTGTCCTCGTATTGGTAGGACAGCCATTTAAAGTTGCCTGTCATCATCCAACTTGGCCTTGAACAAACGGTCGCCTTGGAAGCGTGGCAGCACTACGGTAGGATTTACTGCCTTGGCCCAGTTAACAGACATGGCTAGCAAAACACCACAAAAAAGTATTTTTAGAATTGTCTATTTGTCTCTCGATCAGCGCCAATGTTTATGTTGCTAGGCATAACAAAATCAGACGAGATTTCTCGAATATTGTACACTTTAATCCTGATACCCACAAGTATTTATAATAATAATATTAGTAATAATAACAATAATAGTAATGATAATTTTCCTCTTGTGGGTCAATGCACGGAACAGCGAGACAACTTTTTGCTCACGTATGCATGCGCGCAGAGGTGGATGGATGAATGGACAGATGCGGGATGGATGGCCACGGAATGGATAGATGCATGTGCTTTGAAGAGATACTGCCAAATGGAGGTGGAAGCACAAAATGTAACCCATCAGCCTGATATTTTCTGATCAGTGCTTGGCTGCCTTGGCTGGACCGATTCCCAAGTGTTGTAGTTCATTGTGTCCCCCACTCATTGACCTCGCGGTTTAGTTATGCACTAAAAGTTCACCGGCACAGCAACCTCTGTCCATCGGGCAGTGACATTAACTGCATTCCCCTTCGCCATAAATCATTTGGAGTCGCCTTTAAGCTCAGCCGCAAGCGCATGCCACCCCATCGCAATTGAGCTGCTAGGAAGACTTTTCAATCAACCTCTCGATGTGTGTTTAAAAGCACTTCAAAACTCACTGCAGCTACAAGTGGAATTTGTTCTTTTCCTACATTTCATCTCTGCATCCGTATATGTCACTGCTATTTATGGCAGCTCAGATCTAATGGCATGCGTAGAAGCAAATCTGAAGCCTCCTTTCTTTTGCCCTTAAATACCAACATGACAAGGCTGCTTTGTGCTCGCAAAATGGGAAAGATTGTAAGGTGGGAAAAAAAGATAAAAAACTTTTGGTAAATTTAGAAAATGGATATAATTGATGGGGAGAATGCTACTTCCTTGAACTTCCCCATTAATTGAAGGGAGGAGGGAAATAGAACTGGCTAGCGTTAAATTCCAAAGAGCGGAACATGTCGCGTGAAGAAGAGGAAGCAGCAGCGATTTAAATGAGCCTGCAAGAATTCACAGAAGGCAGCTGCACTCATCCAAACTCTCTGCAATGATGAACAGGTCAAATATTCCCACTTGATTATGCTGCGTAGCCGGTTGCCGGTTTCCTGACCCTACTGTGAATTTGTGATATCAACATAGGAGGCAGTGGAAATTTTACTTTGGTTTGACGGTACTTTGGTAGTACGTAATTCAATAGCCAACATCTCAACACACTTCGACAACCTACCGAAACCGGTGTTCACAAAATCTACGTCAACTCCTCTGCCTCTGGTCAGAAGGAAGATCCCCCGTAGAACGGCTACTGACAAACCACAAGTAGGACGCCATGAAATCGACGAAAGAGGTTAGCAAGAGCCGAACCACTAACACCCCACGAAGGTTGTGGAAGCGAGCACGGCACCACGATCCTACAATGCCGACCCAAAAACGGGAACACAGGTCCACCTCCCCTCGCATAGCATCGTACACTGAGCCAGTGACATCAGGGAGAATAGGTCTGTCAAAGTTCCACTGCGAGGCACGCCTTCCGGGTTAGTAACAGAGGGAGCAGAATCAGGGCCACCACAACTCTGAACCCCTACCCTAACATTAAACTTAACATATTCAATGAAAAACAGCTTCACCTACCAGAATATTCAAATTCTTATCCAAGTAATTCGATATCCAGTTGGGACTCCACAGCATAACACCACATACACGAATAAAACTTTATTTATACAAAACAAATGCACACTACCGATAAAAAAGTTTACAGCATGGCACACAAAAGTGGAGAGCAAGACGATGCTTGGAAAATTCAATCACACCAATTAAAAGCCTTTCGTTAGGACGAGAGCTGATGCAGACGATACACTCGGCTTTCTTGCTCATGCCTTCTACAAGAGACAAAGATGCTTAAAAATGCGCAAAGGGCGAAATTTACAATCACAGCGCAGTAAATTGAGTTAGACACAAGTGCAAAGCTAGCTAAGCGCCACTTGTGTTACCTCACTGATTACTTTGTATTGATATCGTGGTCGCCTGTGTTAGCAGGGTGGCAGAAAAATGCATAATTAAAGATGGAGTAAAAGGAATGAGAATAAGCAATGAAGCACATCACGCTAACCTACCTGAGCAGTGTAGGCTGCTAGTTCTGCGTCCAGCTGGTCCTTCGTTACCGGAGGCCGAGTATTGCGGTTGCCCCGACGTCCACCTCTGCCACCGCGACCGCGCTGCTGACGTCCACGGGATACGTCACCAAGACGATTACGGGCTTGTGCTTGCCCATCTGATTGTGTAGAATCGAAAGAAAGGTTTTGAACTTTGAAACTTTTGAAACTTTGGCTCTCAAACTGTATGGCAATCACATTTCTACTCATCAATCAAGCTGGCAATATTATCACGACTTTAGGAGTAAAGTTACGTCCGTAATAGAAACACTGATGAGCTGTGACGAAACTATGGGAAGAGCGAAAGCCCACACATAAATTACTCACTGGTCAGGTAGGATTAACTCTAAATAACTCACAATAGGACAAATCGATTAGTAAAAATGTTTGTGAAGGCTGCTTCTGTTCTAAAGATTAGCATTTCCGTAAAAGTACAATGACACTTTAAGGCATTATTGGTTTCAGTTCCGTTGTGTAAGAAAATCGATGGTGCCTATGGTACGGATGAGTTTCATCCCCAACACAATTCTTGAAATTGCCCACCGGGGTTTCTTTTTATCCTCCGGTAAAGTTTAAACAACACCGCTAAATCGAGGAAGTAACCGTGACCTCTTCAGTCACTAAACAAAGATCAATGACAGAAAATTGACCTCGTAATTCTTGTACTAAATTTCCTGATGCATTCACTGCTAAGGGTGGCGAAGAAAAGCTATTGAAAGACGAGATCCACTGGTTATACAAGTGGATAAGATCCAAATAATTACCGAGGAACATCGAGCACGAGTCATAAAAGCAGTGCATTTGGAAATCTTGGAGCGCGAGCCTTACCTTCGCCAAAATTGTGAAACGGCCTCAATAGGGAGGCAGGAGCACCACTCAACTAACCAGAGAATACCGAACCAGTTTTTTATGTGCTCAAAAAAGCGTAGTGCCCCTGTAAGCACTTTAAACCGGTTTTTTAAGACCCATATTGCCAACGAACAAAAAATTGCAAGTTTTAGCGAGAAGTGTTTTAATCAGAGAACCCTAATGCTCAAGGAGCGCAGCCATCAAATTGCTAATACATTTCTGATTTTAACTGAAATAACGACTAAACTTCGAGAGCAGCCATCAGCTCCCATCTGTTCAGATCTAAGTCTACGATAATAGCACGCGCAGAATAGTAGCTTCAAAACTAACATTCATCAACAATTTAGAATAGAGGGGAAAGTACGATCATGGGGCAAGATGAAGTACCTTTGACTACGACTTCCCCAAAATCAACCTAGCCGATTGAGCTCCTGCGGCAATGGAAACAGAAAATAGCCACCCAATAAAAATCCATAAGGCAAGTGCGCATTAAATCTCCCGGGAGTGATTGATAATGCAAAGCTACTTTGGTGCGCACCACTCCAAAACCAGCAATTGGAAAGTATGACAAACTACACGTTAAAGGGCTATTTTTGAATATTATGAGAGAAGTCAAAAATTTGTCGTACCAATGTCACTCATAAAAAGCCGCGAACCGCTTACAGTACAGTATAAAAATGAACACTATTGCTATTAATTTCAGCAGCACCAAAAGTGAATTGAACCAAATTATAAGGTAATTCTTGGGAAAGGGATTTTCTATTGAAACATCAGTTAGATAAATGGTGCAACTGAAAACAGTCACAAAAGATTGCAACATATTGCCATCAACCATAAGGAGCGTGTAGGCTGCCAAGGCATTAAAGTTAATATGAATACACAAAAGAAGCCTTTGCTTCGTTCATGACAATCAAGCCTTAGGGATACAAACTTAATGAATGCTTCCAATCGAAAGAACGAGTAGAATCCTCAAATGCATCCAAAGTACAGTGTGATTTGCATACAAAAAGTGGATTAGACAAATCAGTATGGAGATGAATGCAGACCACGCAAAGGTACGAACAAGCATGAAGTCATTAAAGGCTTAATGCGCCTGAACAAACACGTGATTAAACTAAAGCTGATGAGGTACAGCAATTGAAATGCTGCATGATTACGCACTGATTTATGGCGCAGGCAAATATCGACAGTGAAGCATTTCGAAAATCGCCAGAACTTCGACCTCAAGCAAAGCCCGAACAGACGGAACGAAGAAGGGCTATCTCAAAGAATTAAAGTCAAATGGTCAAAGTTGGAAATCGATGGAAAAAAACCACCTCCATACCTAAAATAAACAATGAGTGGTATGCCTACCAATGTACAAAGTATGAAACCGCTCATTTCACCTGAAAACACAGATGCATATAATTTGAAGTAATTGAAAAGGCATAATCTGTAACGATTCAAGGATTTACAGAGGATGCTAGCCGTGAACTAGTCATTTTAAATAAAACATGGCCAAACAACGAACGATGTGATGGTGCAGGCGAGATGACCTCCAACCCACAACTAAGTCGACTAGGCGGAAATCCGATACCTAAGTAACCCACAAAAGTCTATCAATGAGCAAAGACAATAACAAGACGACGAATCTACATTCTTATAAACAGAGCGTAGAGAGTAAAATTGGGGTTGCCAATAATGGGATAGGGTAATAAAACTGACTAAAGGCACGCTCGATCAGAATGAACTCAAAAAGTAGACTGTCTAACGCATAAATTATGTAAAAAGTGGATTATGCAATCAAACCTCTGAAGAGGGGAACCGCATCCATTGAAGGCCCTGAGTTTCTTACGAGGCAGCTCGCAAGATGATGGCAAAGCCGTGCAAACGAGCTCCATCCACAGAGTAAGCAAAATCAACGCGTCGCGTTTCATTTCCTCACGCGGACTAACCTGCAGCTCCAACAAACTGGATATTCATAGGACGACCATCCAGGGGTAAACCATTGTAGCGTTCAATCGCTTTTGCCGCATCAGCACGACTTGCGTAAATAACTTCAGCAGTGCCAAGGGATCGACCACTGCGATCGTAGTGAACGGCTGCACGACGGAGAACGCCAAATTCTTGAAAAAGTTCCTATTAAAACGTGGGCTAGAATGAACATTAGATGCGTACCTGAATGTCGTCATCGTTTACGCCGTAGTCGAGGTTGGAGATGAGAATTTTAGCATTACCCTTAGTTGCCCCGCCTCCATTACCAAGGAAAAGATCATGCTGCCACTTATCGGGAAGACTTCGTCTCTAGGATTCCACATCATACATGTAAAATGGCAGCTTACAGGGAAATCATTGAGTCTTCGCTTTTGAACACGACCACCACTGGTCCTCCGGAGCTCATTTTGAGATTTTGAGCCTCGACCACGCCTTGAGGCCCGATTCTTAGAGATTATTTCATCAAGACTGAGATCCATGTCACGAGAAGCAGTCAGAAAACAATGGCGCCCGTTTTCTCGGCAACGTTTAAGAAAGATGCAACCATCAAATGAGATAGGTGGTACGAACAAACAAAAGCAAAATAAAGGAAAGATAGTTGGCTTCAAAAATCTTCGCAAACAAAGTCATTTTGTTACAAAGGAGGAGCATGCTCAATTATTGCCACAGCTACATTGATTACAGAGGCACGACTTATGAGCATGCAAGAATGATAAGGTAAACATGATGTAGCTCAGAGCTTTTAACTTAAAAGCACCAGTTTTAGTTTAAAAATCGCCATATAATTTTGCGAAAAAAGGTATTAGGCAAACGGGCGGCGTCATTAAAACGGATAATAGGTTATTTCAGAAAACCACCCAATCACCTATTCCAATAAAAAAGTATTAGTAGCAAAGATTTTCACACAAAAGAGCAGAATTACGTTGAACCTAAAACCGAAACGGAGAGATATGTCCGAAATTTCCGTCGCCTTCTTGAAGACACATAGGCATCGCTGTAGTCTGCTTCATGGTACAACCAAATGCGTTTTTAAAAATAGATAATGTAATACGATAGTGGTTTATTCCTCGGCAATGGTAAAGCACCACTTTTGTACTTTGAATCAGGCCCCTTGAACCTCGCTGGGAGGGCTGGCCTTTTGGGCCATGCCGATAGCCCAGACACCTTCTCTGTGCTGAATATATATTTTGCCCAAGTATTTTGTCTTCTTTCACCTTTAGGGAGTCCCAGGACGCTATAATAAATAAATTAGTTCTTAGCTTTTCTAAAGTTGCAAGTGTCTTTTTTAAAGGTAGAGTGCACGGTCCGGTGTTCTCGTAGCACTAAAGCGATGGAAGTGTTTCAACATGCAAGCTAGTCCTGATTGTCTTGATTAATAAATTCATTTCTGATAAAGAAAGAGTGCTTGCAATGTTTTAAAAAAATTAGAATTATTGCTTCTAACTAACGGTATCCTTTTAAGAAACATGTTTTGTAATATGTGGATATGTATTTACGATAAAAATGAAGTAACATAAGTAGCGGTGACTTCTTTTAAGCAAAAACATTAAACAGGGCTTCAATTTTTTTTCTCCGCAATCAATCAAATGATAATTTTTTGGTTTTTTTTTCTATTTTCCGTCTCAGCCATAATCTATGCAGTGCAGCTAATGTGCCTAAACCATTCTATTTTTTACAATGAATTTTTTTTGCATAAAAAAAGCTTGGACTCAGTTTATCGCCGCAAATGTCATCAACTTTTATTGTCGTAGTCCATGCCTACGCTGTGCAGTGCCTTATTTCCTGTAAGATGATGTTTGAACATTTTTCTTGCACTAAAAACAATTGGGCGGCATTGTAGTTTTTGCACTTACAAACATTTTTATCTTGCATTTATTCGTTTCAAATTGTAGGTCGTAAGCGTAGCCATGCTGTGATGAACCAGAATCAGACCAATGAGAGACCTGGAGAACCCTTTTTAACCCGTTGTAATTAGAAATGGCTCTCAGTATAAATATGTTCGGAGTTTGGTTGCGTATGCTGTCTTCGCACAAGTGTTTCGTTGGGGATCTGGGGAAGCCGGTGACTTTTCTGGCTAGATTAGATGGCGAGCCGGTAAATTACAACTTAAACACCTCAATATGTTGAATTACTTTTGTTCGTGTTTACTTCGTAGATTCGATGCGATATTTTGTTGCAGCCCGGCGGTTAAGCGATGGGTCTACTAGATTAAATGCATAGGGTTTGTGGACAAGGTGGTTAACTAAATGTTTGTGTTCCGCAGCCTTCTAGTATTTGGTAATAGAATGCTCGTCGGTCCCTAAGATTATGGTTTAAATGCGGTTCCGGTATACTCTTACGCCCGATCAAAAGAGAAGGTCTAAGCGGATCTTCTTAAACCAGGTGGGTTGTTTATCGTTTCTTGTTAGTGGAACGCTGGGCGAGTTGCCTTAGCGTATTGAGTGTACTAGGTTTGATTTCTTACGGAACTGCCTCTTCCTCGTTGGTAGTGGTCAGAGCATTTTGGGGTCTTGACACCGGTTTCCCTTTTTTTCGCTGGGATGGCGTAGTCCTTGAAGGGCGTGACTCTGTGCCTTGTGACGTTTTCGGTTTTCATTTGTTAATGTATCCGTATTCAATCTTCTAGTCATGTTGTTCTTTTATAGGTCTATTGAATCTCGTTTTTTCTTAATTACCTTCTGATAGATCTTATTCACTCTACTAAATCATTCGTTACGTTTGTCTTCCCACCATTCCTATCCATTGGCAACTTTGTTACCATTTTTCTAGATTGTGATTTGTTAGGAGCTTGTTCTCGATTCCGTTTTAGTTTGGACCGCCTTTTTGTTCTCCTCGAGAGCTGTCCAAACGAGACGCTGCGTGCCACTGCCGCTCGCCAACTGGGTGAACTCGCACAAAAGGCGCCCGAGGATGTGGATGCTATTCTGGCACGGGTGTGTATGTTCGCCCTTTCCTATAACCAGAAATCTGCTTATCTGTCTGTGATTTGGAGGTCTGTTTTGATGTAGTCATGTTATATTGGTCCAGCCACACACTTCTAAGTCGGGTAATAGCTATTGATGGACAGGCAAATAGTTGGTTTACCTGTGGAAATCTGACACTTGCAAGAGAATCTGGAATAGTCTTCGTAGAATAAGTCCTTTGGACGTAAATTGATGGAAGATTGATCGCCTTTTCTACTGTCAATCTCATTTCTGGCTGACTTTGTAATGCGTTGACAACTATGCTCAGTCTCGACATTTATTAAAGCTATAACCAATTCAAATATCATCCTCGGTTAGTTTGGTTGTCGATTTGAAACTGCCTAACACACTCTTCTGTGGTCTTTTTTCTCTAAGGTATGCTTCTGTGGCCTCAAAATATCTGCAGAAGTCGAGGTGATTGTGGTTACATTCGCAGATCCTTGTAATGGAGAAGTTGGTCGCTTTGCGTCTAGCGATGTTTGTAGCGCGATTGTGTTGGCTGTCTTTACCATTATTTATGCGTTTTTAATTGGGCCGCTAGTGAACTGTGCGAAATTCCTTATTTCACGATTCTCAGTGCTTTTCGTTGAATACTTCATTAATCAAAAATAAACTATAACTGCGGGCATCCCTAATACCCATTTTATAATATTTTGTTCCAAGCTCGGTAATTGTAAAAGTCCTTACCTCTTATTTTTCTCTGCCGAGTGAACTTGTGATGTGCTTGCTAGTGTGGTCACCTGCTACCAACTATGTTTGATCTAGCCAAAAGCTGTGTGATTCAGTCCTCTTTACCTTTTGCCTTACTTATCTGATGTAGCGGGAGATGACGTCCATTGGCGCTTGCGCCAGCCACTTTTCAGTCCGGTGACAACCTCGAATTTGCTTATGCCAATGGGATTTGGGTATGCGGTTCTGAGGTTTCAGTTTGGAACTGTCCGTGGGACTGATTGAGAAAAACACACCATTTAACTTTACTCCTGCAATCCTGGAATGTCTTTGAAACTCAACGCAATTCGGGTTAGGATTACTTTTGCTATGGGGGTTTTGCAGTTGCTCGACGCTAAAAAACCTTTATTCTTCCCTTTTTGGTCGTCCCGTGCTTAATTGTGCAAAAATGTCATCTCAAAATTATTGGCCGTTTCAACGGGGAACTTTGTTGCTCCAGAGATGTTCGGAGCTAGGTTGCAACAGTCGATCTAACCATCAATTGTTTGGTTTAAGTTTGATTACGAAACTAGTTATGAAAAGGTCCCCAATTTAGTTATCATAGGTCATTTTCGTCGTATACTGTCTTTGCCCAATATTAACATTTGTTGTCTAAGATGCCATATATCAGCTTTTGTATTAGACCGCGGACTGGATGATGGCAAACTTCCTTGGATGCCATTTTCTTGATTCTACTAAGTCATTTCATTACGGAACACATTGGCATCCCGTCGGCTTTTGGCACAATGATCCAGTGATCCTTGAAAATTCGGTGGTGGTAATGACGAGAAGTAATTGTTGATCTCTCTTCTCTCATCTCCGCACGCACTTGCGATAAAATCGCAAATCCTTATTACTTCACGATGGCGGTGGTACAAAGCACTTCTGCGTGGAGCACTGTCCAATGTTATGCTGGTGAAGGGCGATAGTTTATTTTGCAAGCATAGACTGGACTTAGAAAGACATCGGAGATGAGATTGAAGAATGCGTTACTACTAGATTATTTAGCTGTTGTATCTGCGGGATAGGTGTGCAAGTGAAGGTTGCAGGAATCACATGGTGTGGTCAATGAAGCGGAGCATATTTCAGCAATGTGGCGACTTCAGCCGCGTTTGTGACGTTGTTTCAGTGTTTGACAGAGATGGATTGATGTTGACGTCGGGGACAGGGAGCCGTATTGGAGGCGTTTGGGGGTGCGCATTGCACAAGGTGGATGATTTGGACGTTTCCACATTAGTGTGTCACTTATTTGAAAGATGATTGTAGCGCCACTGTCACCTTGATGTCGCTTGGTGCCAGTTAGAGATGAAAGTGGTCTGTGTAGCGCAGTGTAGTGTAGTGCGATGTGGTGTTCATAATTATGGGAGTGGTGGACAATGAAATGACGTTGACGTTGGGAGCGTAGCGTTGACTAGTCAGGAAGGGCAATTTAGCGTGTTTTAGATAGGTTTGAGTTGATGTGTTCTGGTGTGGGCAGGAGTTAGGACTAAACAGTGCGACTGAACGATGAGTGAGAAGAGGGCGTGAAGATAGAAATTGCCTAACGGAGCGTAATTGTCCTGTCAGTTGTCAGGAGATATGAAAGTCTCAATGGGTTGAACACTTAATGAGTTGCGTAAACGTGGTGAATCTTTTTTTGTTGATGCAAATTGTGGTCGAGTTATACATGTTATCATTTGTCAGTGGTGGTGATGATTGTCTTTCTGGAAGTGGGTTTGGACGTCGTGGAAGGGTGAAAGAGGCAAGGTGAAGTGATGCAAGGTAAGGAATAGATGGATTTGTATCGCGAGATGAACTAGGGTGGTTGTGGATTATCTTTAAAGGTCGAAGTTATTTCGGTCTCTCTTGTTGTATGGTGGTGATGGGTTTCTAATTACGGTTCTATTTTGTCTTCGCTGTGTACTTGAGGTCTTGGTATAACACCATCTAAATTTAATCGATGTCATAATGCTCGTATGCTGCATCTTTTGCGTTTTTCAGTTAAATAAGAGGGTGGTGGATATTCTAAACTTTAATTATTTCCTTTTTTCCTCCTATAATCGTTTCTGAAGTATTTTGGTTTTCGAAGTGAATGTCACCGAACCATGCTAATGACTGGATTAGTTGGCCATAGTTAAACTCTTTGGTCTAATCACATTCTGCCCTTGTTGTTCCATTTGCCAAACCCATTTAGTTGTCTCTACTCCCGTCTTGGCGATTAAATAAACCAATGATCATGTGGTGGAAAAGGTGCTTGAGACTATTTGTAATCATGAATATTCCATTCTTATGAGTTGCGTGTTGAAAATCACTTAATTTCCTATTTCTTAATTGGTTCTATCCAGTGATTCTATTGGCGGCTTCAGGATATTTCCGAGCCTCTTTACTGAGTACCTCCATGCTTTCCCAGCATCGTAAAGTTAGTGGAATATTTAGAACGAGGTGGTACTAATTGTCATTGACTTATTTTATGTTTTAGTCCCTTTATAGAGTGCGGTAGCCTGAACGCTGTGGTTTTGTAGATGCAGTGTCAGAAAAATAGAGATCATTTATTTCACCTGGGTTGTTTGCTAAAGGAGGTGTGTTTGTGTCCTGGTTGTATCAGGTGACCAAAAAGGTTAGTATTGTCCTTGTGGTATCTCATTTTGAGGGCGTATTTGTCAGGTGAGGAGATCTGCAAGGTGCCTGTGACTGTTTATGTGCACATATTACAAGGCCCATGTGATATACGTCAGTCTATCATTGATACGGTGCTCTCCTACTCTTCCTCCTATTTTGGGTCCTTTCACACAACATGCCGGCTGGATTTGGTGTGAGATTCTACTCCGCTTGCTTTGCAAACTTAAATTCAGTTTCGAAGGTGCAACAGATTCTTCTCGTGGCACTTTTTATCTGGTTTTTGGAGGAGGTGCGGGGGCAGAATGTGTTTTCAACACACTAGATCCGATACTTTAGTGATGAATCACGAAAATATCAATGAACCATATTCAGCAGGATCTGGTGTTTTTGGTAATGAGGGTCTACGTATTGTAGGTAATGCTTAAGGTAACGTTATCGATGCCACTGTTGGTTTACAAATAAATTAACCGGAATGGTGATGACAGGTGCTAGGCAAGAGCGCCTCGCATGGCATGTCCAAGATGATGGTAGTAAACCTGATAAATCACTGCTTCGTTCTTCACTTCCTTTGCTTACTTCATGGAAATGCTGCATGTATTTTGGTTGTTTGCTAACCGATTAACTGACTCTTGACCCGTGATAGCCTTTGTACTTTGAGGCAGTGCTCGTGGAGCGAAAGAACAAAGATAATATTGGCTATTCTCAAACGATGCACTCACTGCTCTACTGCCGAATGCTCCCCATTGACTTCCGAGACATGAATTACTTCATTTCCATAAGACTATGTTTCGTGTATGTGTGTGCGTGAG